CGCCTACTTCAAGTCGCCGCTTTACCCTGGCCACCAACCGTTTTTTCTTTCACGAAAATAAAATCCTATCGCGAGTTTTGTCTTCAATTGCCAACTAAGACTTGATTAGTCCCTAGTCAGCTTTGCGGCCAGAGTTATAATTCATTTCTTTGTGGAATTTCGGCACATGGCGATGCTCATTCGTAGCAAATCCAACGTATACGCTATAAGAATACTGTCAGAAGAAATACGTGCCCCTAATAGTTTTGCATATTATGTAGAGTGTGGGAGCTACTGTTAGGCTCCTGACAATGAGGGGTGCTTCCCCCATTTGCAGCGCGTCTGTAAGAAGACCACAAGGCTTGCTCTCCTTCTGCGTCATAAACATAAAGAAGGTGGGAAAACTCCGCGCGCGTGAGAAACCTTCGCAAATGCTCCAAAAGTATTGCCTAGAATAACAGATAGCAAATTATTTATATATGGTCGCACATGACATTAGAATCGCGAGGTGTGTATGTTTCTTCCCCTCACAGAAAGCGGAATTTATGACTCAGAAAGTAACGTCGAATATTTCCAGAGTGAATGCAAGGATCATCTCGATAATTGCCCGAAATGGCCAAACAGGGAGCATGTAATAGTCTCCTCAAGGGTTATTTCGAAAAAGAGTGTCCAAAAAGTTGTAAAATCTGTGGTGACGGTGACGAAGAGGTACCTACTTTTTTCGGCTTTGTGGTTCATAACGGAATGACTAAATTTCAGGTCACTACATCTATACCAGAAACCACACCTAAACCACCGCCAAAAGAAGGTATACCTGCGGTAAGTCGATAATAATCGTTTTTCCTTTTCATTGGCTTTAGGTATGCCATTAATTGTCAGTGAAGTTCTTTACAATTAGTGGCAAGAACCATCATACATATAAGCGAAATCCGGACGCTCTTCAAAGGGCTTTTTGAGAGCAGCCACTCACAAAATTAGAGACCGGTGAAGTTAGGTTTCACAACAGTAGGGTAGCCACCTAGTGGGCACCTGGTCTGCTTCATCAACTGACAGCTGAACTCGCCCGAGTAAACATTCAATCGCTATACGCTTTGGGTGTGGCTCAAACGTAGCGTAATTTTAGTGTACTGGGTGCGCCTTCACCGAATAGTTGAAAAGCAAGTGCAGGATAGAATTTCCCTGCGGTCAGAAATTTCCTGTAAAACCGGCGATTTGCTGATTTCATCGAAATGTATAATTAGAAGGAACACTATCAGAAAAAATATTTGAATGGTGTATAAGTTTTGCGATACTGTGCGGATCTTAATTTCAATTCTCTCGTTCGAAATTTAGTGGTATTATA